GTAAATTCATTTGGAGTCCTCCGGGGTTTTAAATCTCTCATTTGGCCAACAACGAGGTCTGAAAAGATTGCAGTTCATTTCGACCCACAGTGGATGGAAGGCTCATTTACTGGCTGCAGGCAACTCAATCAGGCCGGCCGCTGATGAGTGAGTGACTTGTTCAGACCGCTAGTCAATATGTGTCTGCTGTGATAGAATGTCAGCATCTGCTGCCTGCTCCTGTCTCCCACTGCTCTGGCTTTTTTCATTTGGGCTGATCAATGTTATTAAAAACACCTAGGAGTTCCTTAACTGCTCTGCCACTTGAGGCTTTTCCTTCTTCCTTTTTTTAAACACAACTTTGTATTATCTGCAAACACGTGCAGATGATGTACAGATCAATTTTTTACATGAGTGTGTGGGACGGGGTGTGTGTACACTCAGGTACATAACTTGTGCACTGGGGCTGGCTCTGCAGCTTCATCACTCTGGTTTGGGATTTTTGTGTGTGTTGCCCTGAAGTAGCTCAGACTTAGAGCCTAATGCAAACATCTACTAATTACTATTTGTAAATAAACTTCAAATATAAGCATGGAAAAAATAATGCACCTTGTCTAAAATTGAAGTGTGAATGCCCAAGTGGCATCAGTGACACCCTGTGGACACCCACACATTAAAAATCAGACTGCTGCTCCAAATAAAGGGGAGATAGAACTCAGGTAAATAAGCAGAGGGTTGAAATCATGAGAGGTCTGGAACATACACACCATTTGCCTGCCTGGAAAGCCATTTCCTGGGGACTAATGACACTCCATGGTACAGGTGGGTCAGCCACCAATTACACAAAAAAGGGAACAGATACACTGCTGAGCTCCTGCAGGGACTGCACTGTCCCGAGGTAATGGAAGAAGGGGGATGCTGCATCTTCTGGGCAGACCCCAGGCTTCACATTACCCAGAAGAGGAAGAAGGGAGAGCTCTCAGTGCCCAGGTCACACAGAGAAAAGGCGAGGAGATCTGCTGTGACCTGAGGACATGCTTCAAAATCCGCCCATGCTTCCATCCCTACCCCCTTCCTCTGCAATATGGCATCCAAAATAGATACCAAGAAATGACCTGCCAGGAAAAAAATGGAAGCCTATAATTATGTTATTGAAAACCTGTTCCACACTGTATTATTTAAGGTTATTTTATTATGATGTTGAGATGAGTTTCTTAAAGAAGAAACTCTGGGTTTATTGCACTCTTCACAGAGAGGAGCCCTGGGTGATTTGATAGCCTATTTGAACAAGAGGGATGCTTTACGAGCCCCTATAAAAACTGATGACCCCACTCACATTTGTATTTAATGAAATAAGGAGGAGCTTTGGTTATGTTTTCAATAACCTTCAGTGCTCTTTCAAACCTGCTTCAAATAAGAGCCAGAATCTGCATGTTTCTGTGCCAAACCCCAGGTGTGTGTAGGGAGGGCTCTGGAGGTTCAGCCTGGCTGGTGAGCTGTCCCTGAGTGCCTGTGTCCCTGTGGTGCCACTGCCAGGGCTGTGTCCTGCCGAGGGGACGCTGGGATGGGTGAGAAGTGCTGGCCCAGTGGAGGAGGGTGGCCAGGAGGAAGGTTGGGCTGAGAAGGGGCTCCAGAACTCATCTGCTGCAGCCATTCAGGCACCAGCACACTTCTTGTTTCTAAGTATCTTCCCACACACCAAATCTGGCTTTTTCATTACACAATTTTGGTCTGTCATAAAACATTAAATCTTTCTGAAAAGTTCCAGTGCTTGGATCCTCCTCATTACATTAAATAATTGCTGCTGCTGGAAGGATCAGAGGCTGCACCCGCAGCCGGTGGCACTGCCTGTCCCCACGTCTCCTGGGAGGAGATGAGCCCAGCTGTCCACTGGGGACCAGTGCCCGGCTGAAAGGGTCAGGGCAGGTCCTTGGGAGGGTCTTGGGTGGATATCTCTTCCCCGTTTAGCTGGACTTAGCTGGAAACGATCCTGATCCTTTCTGGGCCTCGGTGCCCGGGGGAGTAGGGGTGCCCGGGGGGCACGGCTGTGTGTGCCCAGCAGAGCAGAGCAGAGCAGAGCAGCTGCGTGGGCTGTGAGTGAGGTCTGGTGGCTGCAGTGGATGGGGATTTCTCCATGGAGTGCTCAGACTGGGCTGCTCCCTGCCAGGCTGGGCTGGGATGACAGCGGAGGGAGAGCCGCGGTGGCGCGGGGGCCGCTGTCCTGCGTGCCCACTGTGGCTGCCCCAGGCTCTGAGATGAGGAGGGGCAGCCTGGCAGGGTTTATTAGAGCACATCCAAGCCCTGCACGCTGCATTTGCATTCACAGTTTGATGTAGATGCCACATCAGCAGATGCTGAGGAATAAGCTGGAGCAGGGTTATAGCATCCTGGAGCTGCAGTGATTCAGTGTGATGCCTCGGCAAGCTGCTCCGTAATGGGCTGCAAGTCTGATTTTTACGATCATTGGAACGTAAAGGGTCAGAATCTTAATCTCCTAATACTGTGTTTTTAACAACATTTACACTTTAACATATTGAAAAATCTCATCTCTTTCTGCCACCCAGCATGACAGCACAATTCAAAGCGATCAGTGCAGCAGTATATTTCAGTATTTTAAACATAAATCAGCCTGGCTGAAATATTTTTTCCACTTCCAGTACTTCTGAAAACCTGGGATTTTCTATCTTTAATGTTTCTTACTTGAACCTTCGTATTCAGTGGAGCCTCCCACCTGAATAATTCAGCAGCATCAAATAAAGAACCCAGAATGGAGGCCCCAGTCCAGCACCCAACACAGACATGGTGCTTTGTGGCCCATTGCAATGGGAAACCTTCCCTGAGGAACACAAATGGCTTGGGAATTGTCTGCATGTAAGGAAAGAATTAAATTCTGCATCACCCAACATAGCTAAGTGACAAGCAATAGGAACACATCAGGAATAAAGAGCATTTTTGATTTCATGAAACCTTTGGGATTAAAGTGGAGTTGGTTTTTTTCAGAATTTGCAAATCTGACACAAACCATTTATTCCAAGAGCCAGTACTCAGTGCAGGAGTGGCCTCTCCTCCCAGAATAACTGAATTCAGTTCTTCTCTAGGGTATGGAAAGGGAAAAAAAGAAGAAAAGGACCCCTGGGGTTTCCTCATTAGTGAAGCCTGCCCAGTCTGCTCCTTTCCTGTGCCTCTTGCCCTTCTGCACATGAGCTCTGGGGCTGGGCCCTGCTTGGGCTGAAGGACCATACACAGGAGCTCTGCCCCTTCCCACAGCTGCTGCCCCACGCCGGGACAACCTGGCCTCCTGTCTGACTTTTTATTTAATTAGAAGCTCCTGATCCAGTTTTCCTCTAGGCTGGCCTGGATTTCTCTCTGCTCCCACGTGAGAAAGGAGCTGGGCATATGGGCTGAACCACAATGATTTGATTCATGGGCTGAAATCATCATTGAACAAGTGTCACAACATGGCATTAGATTAAGAACTAAAGTGATGGGCTATGGTGAGTCTGTTCATTAGTATTAATAGAGCTTAATTAGGCACAAGCATGGTGTTGCAGGGAAATGTGAAGTTGGCTGCAATTTCCATGGTGGGAAAAAAAGGTGTTATTCCATAAAGGAGATAGAGGCCCCTAAGCCTTGTGCCTGCCTTTGAACCCAGCACAATCTGGGCTTGGGATGTGGCCTTCCTGCCCCAGGAATGCAAGGGAGGCAAGGACTGGGTCTTGTTAAGAAGCCAGAATTGAGAAATGGAAAGTGCAGACTAAAACCATGAAATCTGGGGAAGCCCTGACCTTCATACAGGGAACTGCCTCAGGGAGAGTCATTCAGTGCTGACCTACCCTGGCAGAGGAGAGCACAGGTCAGAGCAGCTCTTCCAGTCCCCAGGGAGGGTGCCAGGGAGGAGCAGAGTGAGAGGGACAAAGGGACAGGGACAATGAGCACCTGCAGGAGCCAGTCCCCACATGGCACCGGACCAGGTGGCTCTGCCAGGGCTGGGGCTACTTTGCAACCAGGGTGAATATCCATGGATGCATTCAATGCTTTTGTAATTATCTCAGTTGTTTCTTTATCTTCAGTATCCTCCCTCTTGCACCAGTTTGCCTCCATTCATGCTGCTCTTTGCTTTATGGTTCTTAGGCCATTTTACATTTCTCCCCATTTGGCAGCATTAAATTTTATTTACCATATGTCCCTTCTGCTACAAAGATGATAAAATCCTTTGGATTTTTGTTGTGCTGTTCAAGCTCATTCAGCACTCACCTCAATTTAGCATCCTCGGCAAGTGGAGCTGATTTGTTGCTGGTTTTCACAGAGGTCCAAGCGGGGACACTGCCAGGTTGTGCTGCAGACCTGCACTCTTCCACTGCTGCTTACCCTGTGCCAAATATCGTCCCTCAGGAGGTCTGCAACACCTCTGTGGTGGGACAGAGCATCATATGGACCTCTGGCAAAAAAAAAAACCCAAGAGAAATGCCAAGAAAATCCTTTGTATTTGGTTATTTTCCCTTTTTTGTTTATATTCTGTTGAAAAGTCTCCCCTTGCTGGCTATTCCAATCAGTGCTGTCAAACCTGGGGTTAATGTGCTTTTCAAGCAGCCCACAATGGCAGAAAAGTGGAGGCCCAGCCAGGATTAATGCCCAGGGCCAGATGGGCTCTGCCCTTGCTCTGCTCTGGCCGCAGTGGGGTGGGCTGCCACGGAGGCAGTGCCCGACCATGTGGAGCCCAGTCCCAGGCAGAGGGGGAGAAATGCACCTTAGGATGGCACAGGAGAGCTCCTGGCAGCCCCAGGCTGGAGCTGGAGCTCGGGCTCGCTGCCCTCTGCCCCTTCAGCCCCAGACAGCTGCACTCCAGGCTCCCCGGCCAAGGCCCTCCCTGCCCACCTCTTACCAAGGCTCCTGCCTCCCTCCCATTCCCTGGAAATTTAAATGCATCAGACCATTTTAGCACTCATGAATGAATGAAATGCAAAATGCTGCTACACTGGACTTGGCTGCTGCAGTCAAATCTAGCTGGAAACAGTGGCTTCAAATTGTTTCCACCTTCAACCACATCAGGAGGTGATTTGGAGATCCTCAGTGGAATACTAATATTTCTAGAAGTCTTTTAATTTTAAGCAAGTGAGGGGGCAGTTTGAGGCACAGCTAGCTCTGCTTTTAACAAAATAGTAATCTCTCACTTTCATAACATCTTTTGATTTAAAAGGGCTCAAGCTGAGGCCCTCACCCTTCTGAGAGCATGGCACAGCCGGAGCTGGGAGTCTTGGCCAGGCATGCTGGAACCAGAAGGGCTCTGCACGGAGCAGTGAGCCCACCTGCCTGATCGTCCTGGGGGTACGGGCTGAGCTGCCACGTCCCAGGGCCTTGCAGTGACTTTTCCTCCCCGAGGATGGCCTGTCCTGCAGGCGCTGCCATGGCAGTGCCACCACTGCTGGATGAGGACGCTGGAAATGGGAGCTGAGCCTCGCTGCACCCCTCGGGCACCTGGCCCCCCTGGCTGCGGGTGCTCCTTCACCCAAGGGCTCAGTGCAGCATCCACCCCTCCGTGCCCCCCCTGTCCTGCTCCAGGCAGCAATACCAAAGCCCACAGGTGGGTTTGGGTCACGGCTGCACCTCCACCCACGTGGGGCAGGGCAGGGACCTCAGCGGGGTGAGCTGTGGCCCCGGGGCAGGCAGGGAGGTGGCCCTGCCATCATCCCCATGGCACTCCTGCTGCCCCAGCCCTGCCAGCCACCGCTGCCCTTCCATGGAGAACCAGACTTGAAGAGAGCTCAAATTAAATGTAAGTAATTTCCCTTTTTCCTACCTTGAAATTCCTATTGATTTCCTACCTAAATAGAAATTCCTATTGATTTTGTGTCTGTTCATATTAGTATGTTACCTTGTCACCTTTTGTTTGCAATATTATGTTGTTTTATGTGTGAATGTTTTTGGGAAGCTTTGGTGGAGCTGTGTCCCCGTGGGTGTCACCAGACCCTGCTCTGGCAGGGTATCCGGCTGGGCAGTACAGGAGGGGCTTCAGACACTGCCTGTTCCGCACGGGGACCCATCCCAGTGTGAGTGGAGCCCCACCTGAGCTCTGGGACCCCACCTGAGCTCTGGGACCCCACCTGAGCTGCAGAACCCCACCTGAGCTCTGGGACCCCACCTGAGCTCTGGGACCCCACCTGAGCTGCAGAACCCCACCTGAGCTGCAGAACCCCACCTCAGCTCTGGGACCCCACCTGAGCTCTGGGACCCCACCTGAGCTGCGGGACCCCACCTGAGCTGTGGGACCCCACCTGAGCTGCAGCCCCCCTGTCCCTGTGTCTGGGCTCTCCCGTGACAGCGTGTCACAGCCAAGGCAGCGCTGCTGCCCCGGCTCCGCAGGGGTTATTCTGGCAATGTTTTCTTGTGAAAGCTGCCGGCTGTTCAGAAATCCTGCAGCTAACAGGCTGTTGTGGTGCTCAGGCTCTGCTGGTCAGACAAGTCTCTTCCCCCTGTCCCCGGCGTCCTCTGTTGCTCACACCTCGCTGAGCAGGCACCGCCACGCCGAGACCTCTGACCGAGTTGTCAAGGTGACGGCTGCTGTTATCCTAAAGTACTTATTTCACATACATGGTGTTTTGTCCCTGGCTTTTATTGAAACACAGAGAAGAGACCAATTATCTTCCTAATGGTTTGCACAGCTTCTTTCTCCTCTTAAGTGGGAGTTAATGACAAATGGTTTGGGCAGGGGGTTGCTCTTGCCCAGGGATCTCTTGGGTGTCCCCTGCTTTCCAGGTGTCCGGGGACAGGGACAGCTCCTCTCATCTGCTCTCCTCGCACAGGCATTGTCACCGATTTTCTCCTTCCTGCCAAATTAACACTCTTTCCTAAGTGCCCGAGAGCTGCAGCACCTCCATGCCCAGGCAGGAGGGGTACAGTGGTGCCAGTGCAGGCAGGGCTGCCCGGGGGTCAGCATGGGAAAAGGGGGCTGTGGGCAGCACCCGGGGGATGCCAGCACGGGCAGGGGCCTTGAGCTGTCCCTGGTCACACACATAGTGCTCAGCCTGATTCCATCCCTGGCCCACACGGCCAAGGGACACCCCAGCGTGGCTGCTGGGCCGGGGTCACACAGCAGCAGGTACAGCTGGTGCCGTGGCTCCCTCCCACAAAGAGGCACATTCAAATGCTGGTGTGATGCCTGTCTTAAGCCAGATAATGAAGAAGAGGCTCTTTGCAGTGCACACAGCTCTGGCTGAGGTGCACCAGGGGAACAGTCCAAGTGACACTCTCTCTCACTGAGAGGTTGGGCTGTAGAAGCAGATGGGGGGTCCAAGTGGAGCCAGTTCAATTCCAGCAGCTTCGCCCTGTCATGCACAGGGCATGCAGAACGGGCCCCTTCCCAGGCGGACTGGAGCTTCACCCAGCAGGTTCCTGCCCTGCGAGCACCGGGAGCTCCGAGCTCCTGCAGGACAGGGCTGCGAGCACTCCGCTCCGGGCGGGCTCTGTTATTGATGTGCTGCCTCTCGCTGCAGCAGTAACGGATGTGCTGCAAGCCACAGGGCTCCTCTTGCCTTCCAGCCTGCATTACCCCGTCAGGAACAGAGGTTTCACTGGCACCTGATAAGCCACATAAAACAGATAAATACTGGGGAGATGCTGTGTGTGAACACAATCAGTCTTGGCAGTGACACGATCCCTGTGTAACAGCCTGGCAGGTACCTGCAGCTTTGTTTTTTGCAGAGTGAAGGCAAGTTGAGCTGGATCCAGAGCTGGAAGAGCTCTGGATTTGGGTTATGCAAAGCAGGAAATTGTGCATCTCCATATCACATTCCAGGAAGAAGATGCAATTACACCACTGCAGACCCATGAAAGTGAGGACACTTTAACTCAGGCATGGTTTGGCTTGGGAAGTACCAAACAAAAAATTATTTTTCCATTCAAAAATGTGGTTGATGTGAACTCCCGATGGTGGACACCCACTTCTGCATGCAAGTTGGAGAGACTGGGTGGCCCCAGTGCCTGCCTAGGAGCCTGGGAGCATATCCACAACGTGTGCTCTCTCCAAGTGCTGTGGTGTCTGTATTTTCACCCTTTCCCATTCTGGGACATCACAGAAAAATCCATCTGCAGATTGTTTACCTTGTTTTCTTGTGAGTAAAGGTGCAGCCTTTAACTTCCTGTGGATGTAGTGGGTTGGTTAATGCCTGGGTAACAGAGGGAGGGGATGGGGGCATGGCAGTGTTAATGGGAGAACAGCTCATTTATAGTTCCAGCATGCTTTATGACATCAAAAGAGCATTGAGAGAATGCTTGGGATAATGTTAATTAGAGCTCAGAAATAAATGCTTTGCTTCCTCATTAATTGTTATCTCTTTGTTGTGCTCATTAGGAAGTGATTCCTAGCTGCTAAAGGTTGTGCAGCTGAGAGGAGATGTGCTACTTGGGTGGAAGACACTGGGCAGACCCATCCAGATTTGGGACTCAGGGGCGAGGTGGTGAGATGTGGCATGCTCTGGAGAACACTGTCAATGCAGCGTGTGACAACCCCTGCCCCTATCTCCATTAAGCAGCCTTGGAGGGACCAGCTCTCTTCCCTGCAAAGTTTTCCTGTCTCAGCCATTTCTGTAGATTATGTGAAAATATACTTTGGAAAATTGAATCATAAAACTGTGGTGTAAATCCTTTTAAAAAGAGATCAAAGACCAAAATGCTAATAAGGCTGGGATGGGAATAAAATCTAGGCGCTTTGGTAAAGTAGAATAAAAATAAAGGAGGCCTACAAAGAGAATAACAAATTAAAAACAAGTTTAAAAAGAGCAATGGAAAAAAGAGGTTCAAAACAACCAAAGGAGAAAGCCCTTAAAGTGAAGGCTTTCATGTGCCCAGCACAGGCATGACCCTCAGTGCTGCTCTCACACACAGAATCCCTGCCCAGCCGGGGGCTCGAGCCCCTGCACCCACCTGGGGCTGCACCCAGCCCCTGCTACCAGTCAGGGTCACAGCCTTGGAGCCTCCTATTTCCCACCAGACTGCTGAACCTGCCTCCAGGTGAGAGAAAACTACCTCAGAGAGAGAACGTTGGAACGGTGATCTTCATGGCTGTGTCTTTCCTTGGGATTTCCCATGTTTCTGCATAGATGAGGACCAGGCGGGGCGCTGGGAGAGCAACTGCACATGAAGACCAGTTGATGCACTTTTCTGAAATCCATGACTCGCTTCCTTTGGGGAGTTGATTCAACCTGGCATTAGGAAAGTGCTTTTGAAACACACTGGTTCCCTCCCAGCAAGCTGGCAGGCTGGCACAGGCCCTCTGCATTGTGCTCCCTATGCCACTCAGACCCAATTCTGGATGAAATCGAGGGGTTTTCTGGGGAGGACAGCAGGCCCCTCAAGCCAAGACAGCATCACTGTCTGGAGGGGAATTATAGGGGCAGACAAACATTGCTGTCCCTGGGGAATCTGTGCAGGGCCTGGGAAGGCAGTGACACCGTGTCTCACAGGAGGCTGGGGGCACACCAGTGGTGACCATGTTAAAACCATGTCAGGCAGAACCTCATTCAGCTCCTTGCTTCAAGGCAATTATCACCCCCTGCCTGTGCTCAGGAAGGAAATCTGGGGGGAACACACTCAGGAAGTCCTGGAATGCCAAACTCTGGTGCAGTGGTCCTGCCCAGCAGGGGAGGGCGAGGCTCGGGCAGGGCAGCAGGGCCAGGGGGCTGCAGCTCCTGCCTGGGTGGGTGTGCAGTGCCTGTGCCCCCACTCTGCTGGGTGCTGGTGGTGGCACCTGGCACAGAGCAGCAGCAGCCGCAGCAGCAGCAGCAGCAGCAGCAGCAGCAGCAGCAGCAGCAGCACATGCCCATGCTCACAGGCAGGGTGGCACATCCCTCTGAGCAGGGCACCCTGGGGACCCCCGCCCCGGACAGAGCCCCCGCCACGGGCAGGGCCGGCAGCCGCCGGTGCCCACGGGAGGGAGGCTGGGAAACACACCAGCTTGTTACACTTACCCCTCAATAAAAAATCTTCTAAGTGCCTAATTAACAGTTTAGGTAGAAATAAAAACATA